GGGAAATACTTCCAATCTTAGAATTTTCTGACAGAAAGGTGTTTCTATTTGTGGCTTGCATCTGAGACAGGCCTGCACTCGTGTTGAAAAGCAGTTTGGCATGCCAATGTACCCCAGCATTCCTATCACGTCATCTCCTTGAAGACACTTCAAGGCAAGAAAGAACTGAGTAGTTACTTCCCTTAACTTTGCCCGATCTATACTCTCAGTCTCAGCACACACCCGAATCCTGATCTGTGCTTTGACCCCGTCTGCTTTACAGGAGCAGGGTCAGCCACTGTCACCACATGACTGTGCTATGTGCCAGCCCAGGGCACAGAGTCTGAGGGCAGGGACTGGGTATGTTTGCTGTATCCAGTGTGGCCTCACATCCCCTCACACCACTTGCAGTCAGAACTCCGTGAGGTATGTGTCAGAAACTAAAACTGAGAGACTAAACCAAAAGCTGATGTTGAAATTAACAATAGTAAGCCCATTGCACATTAGTATAATACATTAAAAATGAGAAATAGCTATACTTTCCAAGTCAGAACACCTTTAGTGAGTAGAATGGAAAATTGTTTCTAATCTCTTTAAATACATGATTTAATAGAAACACTGTGTTCTTACATCTCATACATTCAGCTTGTTGCAGTATGTTGTTTTTGACTAAAGCCCACGAAGAACACCCACACTCACATGTGGCTGTGTGTTGGGGAAGTAGGCCCCCAGAGGGCCGTGGGCCCTCCTGAGGACTGCTGGCTAAGTGTTTAGCAAAACTATGTGAGGCTGTGTCAGAGGAGGGGATCCAAGTCTGACCTCAGAGGAGGACTGGGGGTAGACCCACAGGGCGTCCTGCTGGATGGAGAAGAGAGAAGCCCGCTGCACCCCTGCTGTCGTCTTTAATTCAGTGTCCGGGTGGCTTGGGTCTCAGCCCCCTCCTGTGCACCACCTGTGTGGTGGGGCCAAGTGCCCCAGAGAGTGCTTGTGGCTTCAGTGCTGAGCCCCTGGGTTTGGAGCAGATGCGCAGTTCCTTTCTGTTACAGTCAGTTCCCTTTTCCCAGCTGCCCAGCCTGGGGCATGTAAAGGCTGGTGTGGGTGGGCAGGACGCCTGGAGGGCTGGGCTGCAGGCCTAAGTGGCCCTGCTTCTGCTTCCACTTCCACTAAGATTCTTCTCTTTCTTGCTTTCTCATTCTTGCTCTCTCCTTCGATTCTGAGCGGATAGTTAAGAAACCCTGATTTCCCTTTGACGAATTTTGTACTTTCGCAGTTTCCAGAACAGCTTTGAAAATAAAAGCAGACATGTCCAGTCTATCTGGCCAGGATTAGCCAGGCGAATGAACACAATTGGCCTTCTAGTCTCCTCTCAACCTTTGCAATGTTGAGAGGAGGACTCTTCTTGATCTGGCAAATTCAGACACCACTTTGAACAGGTGGGTGCTTCGAGAAATTAGGTCAGAACTCGTGTGTCTGACTAAATTCAAGCTGATGCCTGTTTGGCCATCTGACTGTTGAGAGGGAAACATGCTCTTCTCCAGAGTGGGACTAAGGACCTGGAGGCCCTATAGTGCTTTAGCTTAAGGTATAGCTCAGTATTACACACCACTAAGCTACAAATTTAAGGAAGTCCTCCAAAGTTCTGATGCTATTGATGATTTTTTCAGGGTTTTAAAACACTTACTAGTCTTTCCAAAATTTGAAGAGAATGTTTATGCCGTGGTTTTCAGCTGATCTGGACCATTTCTGGTAGTAAGGTCAAGAGAAGAAGGTTGTGGGGTTGATCACTGGGGTTGGTATCAATGAGTCAATTGACGGGTGTTGTGGGAGAATGGCCAGGGGTTACCCAGGGAGCCTGCCTCGTAGACTCCCTAGAGTGGCAGACGTCCCACAGCACAGGCTGGACCTCTGCCAGATGCACCTGTGCTCCCCATCCTGCGTCCCCTCACTGCATAATGACCCTGCCCCCCACCTCCGGGTCCACGCTGGTTACTGGAAACAACGTAAGGTGCCCTGCCTTCGGTCTGGGCTTTGTGTGGTGGTTAAGTGCGCAAGCCCCAGAGTCAGACTGAACTTACAACCCAGCCTGACCATTGGCATGACCTCATTAGTGAGTTTCCCTGCACTGTGGTCTCACAATGGGAGGTGAGGGCTTTTCCTGTTTGTACTCTGGCAAGGGATGTGTTAAACAGTACACAGTGCTTAGGTGAATGCCTGGTGCATGTGCGCTGTGGTTATGGATGCTCTCCTGGGGCAATGCTGAGTTCACTGGAACTGGACCTGAAGTTGGAACAGGATATTACAGGGGGGACGTGACCGGGGGAACAGAAATATCAAGCCCATCTGGAAGGAACTCTGACTCAGGTGTCCAGGAGAAAGGCTTTCAGCCCTGAACCTTCCACTGAGAGCCTGACACACTCCTTTTCAACCCTCAGCTTTGCTTACTGCAAGTATAGGTGGGGGCCTTCCCAGCCTTGTCTTCCTAAGCAGCTTTCCAAGCCTAGCATCTTCGACTGTGGTGTGACTGTCATCCCCTCTGTATCTCACCCCGCCCCCTGAAGTCAGCACGCACGTGAAGCACTGAGGCATTTTCCCCTCCCACAGACACATTAGGTCAGCTCCACGCCAGGCCTTCAGCTGCCTCTAGCTTGTCACCCCTGCCCATTCCGTAAGAGAAACAAAACCTTTCCTCAGGCAACTTTTGCGTGTGTTCACCTGTATTTCCTTCTCGCAATCCTGGCCCCAGCGTTCTTGAGGTTGCAGTTTCATTGTGAGTCAGGCCTGCTGAGAGCAGTGGAAACCAAAGAGGCCTCTGGGAGGAGGACGTGATGCTGCCTTTTCCTCAAGAGCATGGGGGGGGTGCGGGGGGTGTGTGTGAGAGGTTGGTGATCACCTTCCGGAAGTGGATTTCTCACATTGACTGTCTCTGGGAGGAAAGAATATTACTGGAAAGCCCTAGAGTTCACTTCAGCTCTTTCTGCAGGAGCTTCACGTTCTCAAGAAACTCTTCACGCCATGTGGTGAAGTGTACTTTGCTGCGAGGCAGGCTGTGCTAGAAGGAAGTGTTCTTGGGGTGGTTGGCTCACAACATGGGTCCCGGATTAGGTTTGCATGGCGGAGGTGACAATGGTGTGTTGAATATTCTAGGCAATCCACAAGGGAGGCTGAAGTGCTGTTCAGTCTAGATTTTGTTATGAGCCTCAGTTCCTCAGTTGGATCCCATGGGAAAAGAGAGAAGGCAGAGGTGCCCAGTCTGGAAGAGGGTATCTGGGCATTGTGGAGACAACCCTATGGCAGGCTTTCACCTCATGCAGACACCAAAGTGGCAGATTCATGGAGGCAACCAAGAGCCCCCTGGAGCAAGTGGAGCAGAAACATGCAGCTTGTGCACAAGGATTCACAGGCTGCCCGAGCCTGACAGACCTGTTTTCCATGGACTTGAAAAGCTCCTGTTGGTTCTTTCTTACCCTTCTGAGGGAAGGAGCCCTTTCCATAGGGTTCTGCTTCTGAGAAGTCATTTATGATATAACCAGCAACTTTCAGAGAGCTAGTAAGGGTTAAATTTAGAGGTGGGAAAGAATGAAATAGAAATGGGAACCTGGGCCCTCATGGTGGTGCAAGAGGGTAAAACACAGCAACGAGAAGCTGTCCGTAACCACCATGGCACGAGTTCGATCCCCATTTGGGGAGCTGACCTACATGGTGCAGCAGACCTCTCCTGTCCTGCCTGTTGCTCCCTTCAGCAGTGGATTTCAGTCAGTCTGCCTATTCTGTTCCCCACTTTGTCTCTGGTGAATCCTCTCACCCTTCCCCCCACCTTTGGCTTGTACCACAGTTCTGTATGCATAAATAAATAAATCTTCAAAAAATAAATGGAACCCCCTTAGCCACACTGACCCAACAGACTGAGATGGACCAGTGGGAAGGAGAATACTTGTTTCTGGGAGACCTTGGTCAAGCTGGGCTGAGGGCAGTGGCCAGGGTGGATTCTGTAGTCAGGGGTTTCGAGTGAGGGTATCTTAGAGAGAAATATAGGGACCTCTCAGTCTCAGCGAGGAGGAGTAGAAAAAGATGGGGTGTTACAATATTGTCTATTTCAAATGTTGTCTAAGGCTTGTAGGTACGCAGTAGGAGAAATTTGGCAAATTTCATTGATCTTGGCTCCCACTAACCTAAGCTGAGATTGGCTCTATTTACAGTCTAACCTTGTAAGTTAGGAGTAAATCATGCTTCTAAAATCATGCTGTGTAAAATGAGCAAATTACAGAATAAATTTCTATGATGACATTGTCCCAGGTTCTGAAATGACTTGCAAACCTCTGTGCATAATCTGCAAACTAGGCGTTCTCAAATGCACAACAATGACCAGGTCAAAGGAGCTGCAAGATTTGACTCTATTGAGTGGGATGGAAATGAGGGATTGAGGCTGGGGTGGTGGTAGTGGAGAGACCACAGGACATTCTTGGTGGGGTGTCATGGGCAAAAGAACCTCACGATGGCTCTGCCACTGGAATGCAGAACCCCATATATACCTCCTCTGAAGAAATCCTATCATATCTATAAGATGAAAGACAATAATACCTGTCTCCTGGTTGTAAGAAGAAAGTGGATAAATGCTTGCCCCAGTGCCTGGCACTAAAATCCCCAGTGACTGTTACTTGGCAATTGCTGATTATCATGTCACTCATTTATAACTACACTACAACTACAGCCACCATGCTACTACCAGAGAAGCTATTGGTGCTACCACAATTTCACTTTCTTTTCTGGGCCCCCTGAAATGACTTTGGACATGTAAAGAGAGGTCGAAGGAGGGGTTCTTCCTGCTGAGTTCTTTCTGTGTGTATGGAGATTGCTGAGGCTTCCAAGATAGAGGCAGGTGCATTAGGAAACAGGGCAGAGGAACATCCAGGCACTATGCCTATCACTGGGGCTTCCGCCTCATTTCATGTAAAATCAGAGGCTCTCAGAGCAATGTGGAGTTGGGGAGCTGGCCATGGCAGTCTGAGCTTGTTTCTTTACAGGCCACAGTGACGGGGAGGTTGGACTTGACTCTGTAGGAGCCAGTGAAATGGAGACCCAGGGCTGCAGAATGAAGTGCGAGATGCCAGTCTCTTCACACTGACCCCACCTCTGGACCTCTGCATTTTCCTGTTGGAGACCCCAAAGGCATGAAGTGTGAGGTAAGGAGAATATCGGTTCGTGACTAGAAGACTGGTCATCAAGGGCTGGAGGACTGGCCTTGTCCAGACCCCAGTGCCCTTTCTTGTATTAGCAGAGCTGAGCCTGAGAAACAGGCAAGATTAGAAAGGCAGTAGAATATACCTGATAAAGCAGAACCTTGGCTGTGAACGTGTGCCCCGACAAGGCTAAATGCTAAGAGAATGATTCGTTGTCTAGTAATTAACAGAGGGGGAATGGAGCAGTTTGTATCAATAAAAATGAGTTGTGGCCCTCTCTGGTGATTCAGCGGTTAAAGCGCAGCACTGTGGAGCAACCCACAGCCATTGCGGTGCACATGCGATCCCCGTCCAGGGAGGTGACCCACATGGAACAGAAGACCTCATCCGACCCACCTGCTGCTACTCTCAGCAGCGTGTTTCAATAGATCTCCCTATTCTGTCTCTGACGAATCCTCTTACCTCCCCCCACAACTCTGGCCTGTACCCCAGTTCTTGTATGCAAGACATAAATAAATCTTTGAAAAAATAAGTGAAAATGAGTTGCACAGGGGACTAGCAACACTTGAGCTCTAACTGAGAAGCCTTGTGCCCCTGGGTCGTGCTTCTCTTTAGCTCTACTTTGTGTCTGTCATTCCTTTGTTTCTCGATTCTTTTGGATTCTTCTCCTCAACCCTGTTCACTGGAGCTGGTCTCTGGTACTTTCTGCCCAGATCAAGCTAAAGGATGAGTGGAGGTTTGGCTGTAGCTTGTAGTTACTGCCACAATCTTTTTTTTTTTTTTAAGATTTATTTATTTATGCACACAGCCCTGGGGTACAGGCTAGAGGTGCAGGGGGGTGAGAGGCTTCACCAGAGACAGAGTGGGGAGCAGAACAGGCAGATTAATGTACTCAGTATACTCAGAAGCACACTGCTGAGGGGAGCAGCGGGTGAGACAGGAGAGGGCTGCTGCGCCATGTGGGTCACCTCCGGGGCGGGGATTGAACTTGCACTGAAGCAGCTACAGCCAGCTTACAGTACTGTGTCCTAACCCATTGGAACCCCAGCTTCCAGAGATTAGAATGCATTCTTTTAGATTCTCCAGACTAAAGGTTTATGTGCCAGTTTTATCACCAAATTCCCATTGGCATGCCCGTTGCCTTCTGCATAAAATGCAATGACTTAATCTTCACACTTGCGCTCCCAGACTTGCAGCCTCCTTCCTGCAGGCTCTCTGCACCAGGCTCTGGCCTGTTGTCAGAAGGTACTCCTATCTGTCCCAGCTGCTTGCTCCCACTCAAGGCTCTCCTGGCTTGTGCTGTCTATACCTACGACTCCCCAACCCCTGCCTACACCCAACAGAATCCTTTAATGCCTCCTCTTCCACGAACCTTTCTTACCAACCCGATCCCATGGAGTATTCATTAAAACGGTCCTCTAGCTCCTATGGCTGTGCTTGGTGGCGGCACATACTACCTGGTCTTCTGCATCACAGATATCGTTGCCTGTATCTGGCTTTGTGCGTGTGTGTAGCTTGTTTTTGGGGTCGAGACCCATGTTTCCGATATAATAGAGATAGAGAGGAGACATGATGTGTCTTGGTGTGAATATTTGTTCATTCTGGCTGGCATGTGGGTTTCTCAAGTGATAACGATTTAGGTCCAGCAAAAGGAGCTTTCTTCTGGAAAGTTCTTCCAACATAAACGAGCTTCGTTTCTGCCTCTTTGAAATGGGGAGACTCTCTCTGCTCCTTTTCCTCTTTTGCAGAGGATCAAAGAGGCTTTCAATAAGTTGACATACTTTAAGGCCACAAAATAGCTAAAGGCATGCCATGCCACAAACCACACAAGCCACACACACTTTTCCTCAGCTTTGGCCTTCCCGCTGCCAGGCCTCACTTTCCTTTTGCCGACCGCATTATCGCCAGGGACTCATGTTATTCAGAGAGCCTTCTGTATGTTCCCTCTCTGCCAAGGGTTCCAGGGACACTGGATCTTTCTTCCTCGTGACATCGGCAGACGCTGCTCTGCTGATCTCTTACTCATTTTCTAAATCTGTTGATAGCGACCTTAAGCAGTCTCTGTGTGTGTGTGTCTGCACGTGTGTGACTCTGAGTAACTCTTTATGACTAACTGAGGCCTGTTGTCTGTTAGCATATAATGTGTACCTGCTATGTGCCGTGGGTTTGACACAGGCCAAGAGTCCATGGACTCCTGGGGATTCCCACAACTGCCTACTGTCTGGCTTTTTTGGTTTTCCTGTATGATCTTTGATTTCTTACCACGTGCCCTTGTTTCACTTGAAGTTTTACAATATTCTCAAGGGTTTAATCGAATTGTGAATCCAGTTTTTACAGAAGAGTAACTTACCCTAAGTCACACAGTAGCAAGTAGTTGAGGCAGAAATCTGAACCAGATTTAACCCTAAAACTTAACTCCTTAAAAATAAAGACTATTGGGCGGCCCTCCCTGGTGGTGCAATGGGTTAGAACGCAGCACTGCAAGCTGGCCACAGTCGCTTCAGTGCAAGTTCGATCCCCAGCCCTGGAGATGACCACATGGCTCGGCTGACCTCTCCAGACCCGCCCACTGCCCATCTCAGCAGTGTACTTGGGCCAGTCTGCCTGTTGTGCTTCCAACTCTGTCTCTCATTGCAAATGAACCTATGGCTTGCACCCCAGGTCTGTAGGAATAAATAAATCATTCTTTAAAAAAAGACTACTGGGCCCTCCCTGGTGGCACAGGGTTAAAGCACAGCACTAAGAAGGTAAAGCCATTTCAGCATGAGTTCGATCCCC